TGTGTGTGTGTGTGTGTGTGTGTGTGTGTGTGTGTGTGTGTGTGTGTGTGTGTGTGTGTGTGTGTGTGTGTGTCTTCAAACAAAACATGTTATCAGGTCAAAAAACACATTTCCACACTCGTGCAGACTGCATAGAGAAGAAAAAAAAACATTTCTTAAAAAGCGCAGTATGTGTAGTAGAGTCACACCTAAATCCTCCCACGAAGAACACCCACTGACTCTTTCAGCCCCTGTAATGTGAAGCTTTTCTGAAGTTTAAACTGCTTCCAAACATTTCTAATGCCACTCAGCAAATACCAGACAAGACCAAAGGGTGTGATGTAGCACTTCAGTCAAAAAAATAAAATGCAGGTTGTTCTCTTTTTTTTTCTTTTGCTGTTCAGGAAACACCAAACTGAAAACAGAACAGGCTTGAATGACACTGAACATGATTTCACAGTATTGCTCATACAGGCTATAATGTATCCAGTTAAAGACATTACAGTTAAATGAACCTTGGTGATGTTTTACACTCTCATTATTAAAACTCACTGAAAGACATCCAAATTAAGATTCATTTACTTCTGTGGACTGAAACATCTGGTCCATGTGTGAAATCACCAAGTGTGTTTATGTTTACGCGGGTAATTCGCTATTTGTCTGAATGAGACAACATTCCTAATTTGATAGAAGTAAAATCCATTTAGATATTTTAACTTAGCACTAGCTTTACTGAAATGGATCTCTCATTCCAATGAAGAGATGTCTACTAAGCCAATAGTCCATTTTAGAAGTATTAGTACTGTGCATTAGGAATGCATATCCCAGAGTTTTACTGCAGTTTGTGAAACAAAGCTTCTTGCATGTTTATGATCAGCTTCATGTTACACAGGAGAACCCCACCTACATCAGAAAAAAATAAAGATATCAACTAGCGTTTGGATAGAAGCAAATGTCACACAGCTGACCTTTCAGAATAAAATTAGCTCTAAAAGGAAAACTATATATTTTAAAGCTTCTTTTTTAGATTTCTGTTTTCAGTAGGAAGTTTAAGAGCTTTGATGGCATCAAACAGACTGTCTATAATGATTGTTATAATGTGTCACCGCTTCCTCTCACTGTACAAAAATGAAGTAGCAGCTGTGACTGTGGGTAACATAAAGGTCCTCCCTGCTGACCAGACAAAATGTGGCCCCGCCCCTCTCTGAACCTGGTTCTGCCAGAGGTTTCTTCCTGTTAAAAGTGAGTTTTTCCTTCCCACTGTCGCCAAAGTGTTTGCTCATAGGGGTCATCTGATTGTTGGGGTTTCTCTGTATTATTAGAAGATCTTTACATTACAATATGAAGCGCTTTGAGGAGACTGCTGTTGTGAACTGGCGCTGTATAAATACAGTTTTATATCATTTAATTGAACAAGCCATTGAAATCTTAACTGCCTTAGACTGTTGTGGATTATAACTGCAGCTACCTATTAAGTGGTTTCACTCTTAGCTTAGTGTCAAGGACCTGTTGGGAGGAGCCTCAATACCATCCTCAGGTCACTACTGCACGTGCGAACTTTTGCACTTCATATTTTGTTCCAAAACCATTGTCAGTTTTGATCTTTCCATGTAATTTGGTGATAAGAAAAAGCATAACACTAGACTTTTTCTTTTTTTTATATGCTGGCTGAGGATCAGTTTTTATAAGAACCCAACAAATGACTGTTGTCCAAAGTCTATTCCGTTTAAAAAAAGGAAAGCACATCAACCTCAAAACTAACGGAAACAAGAGCGCATGTAAGCATGACACACAGGACAAAGCCATAGAGTCTTCCTCACTAACAAAGCCTGGGAAATGCTCTGTCAAATCAAATCAAAATAGCTCAAACCATTTCACAGAAGTAAGATGAAAGTAAATGAATGTGCTCGACAGTAATCCTCTGAAAAACACATCTGTCGTACATTAGAAATAAAAGATTAAACGTGAGAAAAATGTTTGGGTTTCATAGTGATATAGCTCTCCTGGAAGGAAGAACTAATTTGCCAGTAAAAGGCAGAGAAAAGAGAATTCAGGCAAACAAAAAGCGAGCAGATGATAATGAAAGCGTCTTAAGTGTACCATGCAGCAGTTCATGAAGCACCCCAGCTGCAGAGAAGCCAGCTGTAGAGGAGCCCACTTAAATCAAATGGCACTTCTCCCAAACGGGAAGGAAGGAAGGAAGGAAGGAAAAAGACTGGTAATAAGAAAAGCAGTGTACTCACATACTTGGAACAAAGGCTTTTTTGGCAATACACTGTAGTATGGCAATATATATTACTGTGGTATATTACATGTAAATCCAGAAGAGAGACAAAGAGAAAAAGGATCCATTATTATTGCAAGCTCAAGTTCTTTGGCTCAGTTGCAGCCATGATGAGTTTTATACCAGATGGCTGTTCAAGCAAAGCAACTGCTGCTTGCATGCAATGAGCACAGTCGAGCCGTAAATAATGGAGCTGCTGTTTGTGCAGTGAGGTCAGACTGATAAGTGCACGGTCAAAAACAGACCATAGTATCTGTTCAATTATGTCCTGTGAGGGTCTGCCACAGGAAGCATTGATTCTAAGTGTTTGTGTTCTCCTGCAGGGGTAGGAGTGTTTGGGTGTGTGGTTGTGTCCATATGACCACAAATGTGCTGATCTCTGCATGCAAGACAAAATGTCACAGCTGTCACAGTCTCATAAGGCTATGATGCAGTCTCGTAAGGCTTGTCCTCGCCATCTCGACCTTTCACACTGGTGTTGTATCTGTATCGAGGATAGTGTAGGGACGCCCCGCCTTCCTCTTTTTCTTCTTCCTCTTCATCAGATCTATCGAAAAGGTAGCGTCTTTGGCTAGGCGGGCTGGAGCAAGGAAGAACAAACAGATTTTTTTTTTTATTATTATTTAGAAAGCGAATAGAGAACAGTATGGAGGCTGAAATCTGAGAAATGTCCTCGAATGTTTCCCAGTTATTATTCCATTTGTTCATTTGGGGCAAAAAAAGCTTGTGAATCTGATGACATTTTCTGTATTTTTGTAGAAATATGAAAACAGGCATCACGTTTTTACACAAGTGATAAAATTTGATAAATCAAATAAAACAAGTGGAACCAAATGAACTGACTTGGTTGTTTACTTGAAACAATTTTACCCCCTTTCCTCCACACACAACAAAACACGGCTGACTTATCCACCTGACTGTGGATTGGTGTAGTTTAAACTCCTAGCAGTTTCAATGCCTTTTGCAGCCTGTTAAGCATAAACATTCCTTCTTCTAAAGTCACCAAAAGTTCACACTTTTTCCTTTCAGAATTTTGTAATACCAGATACATTTTCTCAATAAATAGATAAAAAGGTTTGGCATGATTTCATTGTTTTAAATTAGTTCTTTATCTGCTTTTAGTACTTGAGTCAAAATCCAATAACATTTGTACAGAAAATATCAGAATTTACAAACTTTTTCTGGCAGCTGTACAAACAACACGTACACAAAACACTCTGTGATATGCTGTGAAAAGTTCTGGTCTGATCAAAAATATACTAGCTATAATATAATAGCTAGTATACTGTAAAAGACACTTTGCCACAGTTCACAGTTCAGGTCTTATATATTTCACTGATTTTTGGATGTATTATGTCCATATGGTGAGTAGATTTTCTTCATTAGCCTTCAATATTCTGACTACATGCATGTGTGTATATGTTATATTCTTCTAATCAGAGAGCTGCAGTATTTTATTCATGTCAGCCATTGCTCTAGCATCTAGTGGGCACAAAAACTTGCAATCTCAAGCAATGTGGGAACATGCGACCATCCAAAACACATCATATTAATGTTGTTATTAAAGATAAGGATTTCAAAGTGACAGGTGAGATTACAATCTCAAAATGTTACAATAATATTTGTCAATGGCCTGTGAGAGATAATTTGGTCTCGGAGCATATGCTGTCTGATACTGTTTCAGGCGCCTTGAGGCAACGGTTGTTGTGATTTAGCCCATTATGAATAACACTGAACTGAATATGAAAATTTAGGGGGAGAAAAATGTGGAAAAGCAGGAGACAATGATTTATTGTAGGGTCATGATATTGTTTACCCAGCATAGTGGCTTCACACTGTCACACAGCTATACTGAATATAGGCCATTTTCTAACCCATTTTGAGAATTGTTTACAGCTCAATTAGCCGAAAAAGCAAGAAAAACAAGAAACCTACTAAAAATAAACATAGAAATTTTTCATATTGATATTTAAATATTGTAAACTGCTGGAGTTAATTACAGTGAAATGTGCATCACACATAAATTTGCTAATTGACTTGTAATGTAATTTTTATTCCTTTGTAAATCAAAGGAATATCTCAGGAGTATTGAGTAGCTGAGCTAGATATCCACAAATAATACCTTCTTATCGACTGTCTCTCCTTTTATGATAACATTTCACCAAACCAGGAGGCGGTTCTGGTCTAAAGGACTCCTGGATAAAAGCAATCAATGTGAAGAGACCACCACACAGACTACTGTCACTAAAGTGTACAGCAAAAACTGTTAGCATCACTAATGTCACACGTGAAAAAGGCAATCCCCTTATTAGAATTTAAAACTATTCAAGTCAGACTGTATGAGAAATAGTTAATGTGCTGGTTAATAGAAGTGAAAGGCCTTTGTTTGGTTAGGTGACATCATGCTTCAAACAACTCTTTCCAAGGTAAGTCTACCTACTGCCTGCATCAGTCACTCTCCGGCCGGTATAAATACTTCATCATCAGGCTGTCGACCTTCTTCTTTCTCTTCTTCTCATCCTTTTTATTAAGGGGCTGAGTCTTGCTCTGAGACCCAGCTTCTTCATCCACTTCTGGACTTGAAGCCTTTCGAGCTGGTGCCCTTTTCACACTGCTGGAACTTCGGTAGGAAATAGTGGAGGCATCAGAGCTGGATTCTGATTCTGAAGATGAGGAAGATGAGGAAGAAGACAAAGACTCATCCTTCCTTTTGGATTTTTTCGATCTCCTCTTGGAGCTGCTTCTGTGACGATGGCCATCTTCTGAGCTGTCAGAGTCAGAGCTGTGGCTTCTCTTCTTTTTCTTGCTCTTTCCTTTACTACTGTGGCGATGGCGGCTACTGCGGCTACTGGCTGGTCTCATGCAGTCCGCGGCAGATGCAGAGCGTCTGAGGCTGTTGACAGGGTGAGTATCTTTTCTGTCAGCTTCATTATTGTTGAACTTTTCTTCTTCACAGTCAGAGTCTTCCAAAGTCCTGCGCTTGAATTTGATAGGTTTAAAACTCAGGACTTCATTGATGGCTTTCTCCAGGTCAGGGTCAAGGTAGTTGCGATGGTTGACTGTTTTGACATCCAAGTTATCAACTGCATCGTTTTCAAAATTTGATCTGACTTGTGGTGGTGGCATGGAGATACTGCGTCCAGTTGAAGAGTGTGGACTGTATGCTGACTTCTCAGTGAAGGCCACACTTCTACTATCATCAATATCAACATCAAACTCACTAAGACGGCAGCTGTAAGCCACTGAGTCAGGCCGACTAACACTTCCGGGACTACAACCGCCAAAACGTCTGCTATAGCAAGGGCTACTGGGACCACTGCTATGCTGTGAACGGCTCCCTCTACCCTTGTCTAATCTTGAGGTGCTTTGATGGCGTCCAAGTGCGCTTGACAGACCTAAGCTGACGTTAGACTTGGCATCATTCTCTGGGTTTAACCCAAGAAATGTGGAGGCCCGACTTGGTGCAGTAAATGAAATGGTTGATTCTTCGTTAAAGTTGCTCCAGCGGCTGTCCAAGCCTTTTCTAGCCTGGCTGTTGGCTTCTGAATAGGCTTGGGAGATGACTGACTGTCTGTCATTCATGCCATCCAATACCTGAGACTTTCTCCTTGAGCTGGCTAAGTATGCATCATTCTGAAAATCAGAAGCTTGGGGTTTCGGTTTACGAAAGGATAGCGTATCCTCTGACTCAGCATTCTGACTGAAGAGGGCATCTCCTTTGCTACTGAGGTTGGATCGTTTTCTGTAGCTTAGGGAGCTCATCACTGAAACTGGCCTGCTTGTTTCTACCTCTCTACCTTCTTTATTCACCTCTTTCCATTCCTTACCCTCTTTCAATTCCTTTCCTTCCTTTGCTTCTACATTTACAGCACTTCTACAAAGAAAAACAGGAAGAGACAAAAGAAATAAAGACAGTGGGAGAGAAAATGACAAAGACGAGATATTAGGCAAAAGCAAAGGTGAGTGAAAGAAGAGAATGAAATGAATGAATGAAATGTGACAAAAATCATAAAAACTGAAATGAGAGAAGAAATGCAAGTGCTGAAATTTAGCAAAATGAGATGAAAGCAAGGAAAGCAATGTAACACAATACCACTCAGGTTTGGTTCAGTGCTAATTTGTCTACCCATCTATACAGTCCTATAAAAATGTGTGATTTTTAATAATTTTTTTCACGAGCACATAAAAGTGCACTTGTATGCATTTCACTCACATAATGTGGCTGAAACTCACAGAAAAATGAACTTCACCACAGCTTAAATTCTCCCTTAAAACATAGTCCTTTCTCCCCCTTTTCCTTTCTTTTGAGCTGTTTTATAATGAGTTAAAAAACCCAACAGGAACTCTAAAGTATTTGTACCTGTGTACTGGCAGTTAGTCACTGAACTTGAAAGTGTGTGTCCATAGGGTGAAGCTGCTGAGAGAAATTTAAAAACACCAAGTATTTAAAGTTGGGAATGACTCAGCTCAGCTCAGCTGAGGGAGGAAAGTTAAATGTGGTAAGGAGATAAATCTGGCCCAGTCAAAACCGTCAGCTCGCAGACATTAATCTCAGCAAGCGGCTCAGGTAGACTGTGCCAGCTGGCCTATGGGCATATCGATAAATCCGCCACCAAGGTCCCCTCCTTTTACTAAAGGGAAAAAAAGCCCTGCTTCACCAAGTGGATGACAATGAAGACAGAACAGTTTGCAAAATGCATTTAATAGCAGTCCCTTCTTTTCAGTTAAATTCTCTGTGTTGATGGCTTTATTTCCTCAGGCCACAACATGTTAACCTTTTTAAGCAGATATGCTTAAATATGCTAAGTTCAGGACAAACAAATGTCTTGGCAGACTGTTTCCCAACTGCTGCTGAAGAGACGGTGAGAGTTGCTACTGTAACCCACCTAAAATTTGCCTCATGAAAATGAACTGCTGTTCCCAAAGAATGCCAGTAGGTGGCACTATGAGATTGTTTAGTGCTTGTGAACTTGAGTTGATACAGAGAATAGTGCTAAGGCTACGTATGCTGGTTGGAGCTACTCACCAAGTTTTTCTTTAATCCTTGTTCAAGAAAAAGGTTATGTGTGAAGACACAAATTGGATTTTACTCTTCCGCTTGCTGGGAAACGCGGACACTTTTTGTTGATGCCGATGTACCTCTGTTTTTGTTCATTTCCGGTGAGTTGACTAACTGCGCTAGCATAGCAAGCTAATCGTTAGCTAATCATTAGCTTAGTATAATGTAAATTTCATGTGTTCCTTTTAAGTGCTGTATTATGTTTTTATTTCTTCACTTGTGAATGTTTTAAACCAATCGGAAATATTTCTTTGGAAGCTATTAGGTAAGTTTTATTTATTGTAATGAGATGATAAATGTGAGCAGTCTTTGGCTAAATAGTACTGCGACCACGTTTTGCACTTTCCTCGTGCATCAGTAATGTGCTTTCTCTCAATTCATTGGATTGATGTGACTGCTGTTCACAAAATATGAGATTTGAGTTAAATTTGTATGATGTGGAGATTGTTTTAAGGTTCTTTGATTTATTTTATTATTGATTGCATTAAGTCGTTATATACAAAGAGTGAGAGACATTTGGTCACTAGTGTTGATTAAGTTGTTATATGATATTCATGTAAAATATGTTCACTGCCCTGTGCAGGTTGGTTTTTTTGTTGGAGTCTAAAGTTGCGAGCCAGGATTCCAGATCCCCAGCTGCGATGCAGGAAAGGTTTCCAGCCTACTTAGAAGTGACAACTGCGTTACTTCTTGACAGATAAGCTTATGAGATCTCAGAACAATACACTACCCGGGTAGTACTACTAACATTAACACTATACACACACAAATATGGACTATTGAAACTGTTGTGAACTGTTGAATGACTGTTTTTGGTTTTGTTTTTGAATAAATGTTGACTGTTCTTTTAGCTGTGTGCCATTCGTTCCTTAGTCGATTCCTAGAGAACATAAGCCCAAGATCCTAACAAAGTATGGTGTGTTACACTACCTTTGTACTGACCTGAAGCTTTTGAGACTGCCGTCATCAGAGAGATTTTTGGTGGAACCTTTGTTCTTGGACAGCCATGACTTCACCCCTTCCACATGATCCTCCACCTCAGAATCTGTGTTTGAATCCCCTTGACTGGTGCAGGCCAGATCAGGAAAACAGGTCAGCGGAAGCAAAGGAGAGACGAGAGCAAAGAATAGGATAAAGAGAAAAGTCAAATATTGCCATTCAGTGGGAGAATAGGGTGATGGAATATGAATGTGAAATGGCAGTTAGCACAGGTAGTAATGTTCGTGTGTGGTGTTAGTGTGGCAGCGAAGGGTGGCTGTAGCATTTATTCTAGGGGGGAAAAAACACATGCATGTCAAGTCAAGGTTGCAGAGATATCAACACCTTAAGACTTCACTTATGGTTATCAAACCATGAAATCAATGCCAGAAATTTCACACGTTTTTGAGTGTTTATTGAACCTTCTGGCAGTTGTACAAAAAGGAATAGAAATTGTGTATATGAATTTTAATTTGTACTGTATTTGTTACATTTGGTATTTTTTGGGAGGTGGGGTGGCGGGGGGGATCACACTGATGATGCAGAAATCACAAAAACTGTGTCTGTGTCTGAAATAGGATCCACCAGGCGTTAAGGGGTTAAATGAGCGCTACCAATGCTGGCAAACATTAAACTTCTCTACTTCAGTGACAAAGAAACAACATGACAGAGCTATAATGCAAGGCACAACAGCTTTGATATATACAGTTCAACAGGGAGGGAGGGATAGCTCAGTAGATAGCGTGGTCGCCCCATGATCGGAAGGGGCTCGAATCCACTGAATGGCTTACCCTGAGGTACCCTTGAGCAAGGTACCATCCCTACACACTGCTCCCTGGGGGCCTGATTAGTGGCTGCCCATTGCTTCACTGAGTGAATGGGTCAAATGCAGAGAGTAATTTCCCCATGGGGATAAATAAAGTATACATTATTATTATTATTATTATTATTATCATTATCATCATCATTGAAAGGAACTGGAGATCCGGTTATTTATTTAGCATTTTGTGGGTTTTTTTGTTCTTTTTAAATTGTATAAGAAGTAAACATCTCCATCACACAGTTGTTTTGTGGGTAACTGTTTTCAAGTTTTGCGCATACTAGAGAGATATGGACAAAACTATTATTATTTTACTGTGTCTCCCAACACGGTTTAAAGAGCATGGAGGAAATTGCAGAAGACAGGCAGTTACTCTCGTATAACAGGCCATAAAAGGTCTTTAACCCATCAGCAGGACCGGTATAAATGGTAAATGGACCGGTTATATAAACATATTTCTACTCTGGGCACTCAAAGCGTTTTATACAGTATGCCTCACTCACATCCATCTATTCACACCTATGTACACAAGCACTATGCTTTCTATCTAACATTCACACGTTCATATTTCAATGGATGCATCTGAGAGCAATTTGGAGTTAGTATCCTGCCTAAAGGTGTTTGGCATGGATGTGCGCTGCCAGAGACCTACAAAATGATCTCTAGTATAAATGTCTCTGACCAAACTAGACTTGGTGAGGGTGGCCCTGCAACACTGAAATAAAGTTGCTACAGCCTAATTGTCCTATAGAGACATCAGTGTGGCTCAACATCTCTGCATCTGTTTCAGAAAACTTACCATCATGTGGAGCACAGAAAGGCCTAGAACCACTGAAAATTAAAATCATTTGCAATCAGAAACTAAAACTGAAGATTTCAAAAGGGATTTTTAACAGTATGCTTTGCCCTATGAGATCCGGCTCTTATGGAATACAATACCTTAAATAGTAATACTGGAGCTGCATTGAATTGAGTCCCAGCCCCAGCAAAGATGATGCAGAAGGGATTGGTGGAAGGACAGAGCGACAGACTATTAAGCTATAAAAAGCTTTGCAGCACACGTCTCAGCTATTAAATAATCTGTGGGATTTGCTTCTACCCACTGTATGTCCTCATCTTTTCCTCTGTGGACTTGCCACAAAAGACCATTCGTTTTCTTTGTTTTTATCTTTCATCTCTCCACATCTCATGCTGTGGAGACATAAATTGTCCTTGACATTCTTTCGCCACTGGTTGTACATCTCTGTTATATTCATCATTAGCGTGTATAGATTCTCTGTGTGTCCCTGAGTCTTACAGAATCTATTATTTTTGCCTGCCATATGTGAAAAGGCTGGGCAAGTGAAATCTATGTTGGATAGAGTCATAGGGCGAGAGGCGGAGGTACACCCTGGATTTATCTTTATATACGTGTGTGTGTGTAGGCACATGGCATGAACGAGCAGGGTCCAGAAAGGAGGGGCAGAACCAAAAACGAGATACTGGTAGACAGAGCACTCGCTCAAGACTATAACACCAGACTAATCAACCAGGGCGATGTCTGGATTGACTACAACAATGACTCAATGCCTAATACATGGATCCTGGAATGTGTACAACTATACAAGAGCAACAGGATCCCGAGTGCCTTAATCAGGAATTCAGAACAAGCCTACAGGCCAGCTTCAAGCCAATTGCAGTGCGGGATTGACCAAGGAAATTCTCTGTCCCTGGTGCTGTTCTGCATTGGCCTGAACCCACTCAGCTAGATTAACAAGACTAGCTAAACGTTAGTCATCTGCTCTACATGGAGGAAAAAAAGGCTATCCAAATCTACCTGGGCCTGTGTACAAAATCCCTTGATTGACTAAATATACAGTTTAACTACTGATTTTACTAATACACCACCTTCATTTTTCATTAATTTTTAATCCCACTCTAGATATATTCGCAGTTAACCACATCACACAGCGTTTCAAACATTTAAATTTAGCTCTGATTTTTTAAAAAAAGTTTTAATAATTTAAAATGCTTTTCAAACCAATGTATTGCCTTGTGTTTCTGACCTGATGCAAAGCTGTCGCGGCCCTCGCAGGACAGCTGTTGCAAACATGAATTGAAAGAATTTGATGCAACTAATAGTAAACACTTTAGTAGTAAGAAAATTCTAAGCCAGAGGTGAAAGTGTTGAGGAAGGGTAAAGTAAGGGGTTGTCAGAGCGGTGTGTTTGTCTGGTTAAAGACTACATTTTCTTCTTTATTTCTTCCTCACTTCATTTTTATTTTGTTTTATTCTCATGTATTTATTTATTTATTGAGGGGGTGGGAGAAGTACTTCTGTAAAAACCACTGCACACCACTGGGGCAGTGTGTGTAGTTTGGGAGCAGTAGTGTGCAATTCTAAATGAAATCAAATATAAATATTTTGGGGAACAACAGTGTCACGTTGATTAACTTGTTGGGATCAAAACCAAATTCCATGTCATATCCTGGGAGACAGTACTTCCTTGTAAAATACCACTGCACCAACTGGGCAGGTTTTTTGAATGTCCATATATTACGTCACCAGGGTCAGTCGCAACTACCAGACACTCTGACCTGCGAAAGAAAGCCAATCAATGAAGTCCCTGTATGTTTGTTGTTTGTATAAAGTTTCTGGAGGCAAATCAAGCGCAAGGAGTAGGTGATTGCCTCAATTTTCCTAATTGATGGAAATCAAATATAAATATATATTAATAATAAAATTTAATATAATAAAGAAAATAAAGACTTCTGATCTTAGTTGTATATTTATGAAGAAAGAAAAAGTGAGTTCTAAGACTAATAATAATGAACTGATATCAAAGTGAGAAAAAGAACTTCAACTATAGTCCTGTATCAACAGCCCTTCTATCTTACTAGTATAACGCTCTGCTTAATTCTGTACCGTACTAGTGAACATATCTTGCTATATTATTATCATAAATCAAAGAAGAACCATCCAAGCTCCTATTCTTAGTGAACTAGCCGCAGTTAGCCGCCATGCTGAGCCCCTCAAACTTTTAACAGCCTCAGACGCTCTGCATCTGCCGCGGACTGCATGAGACCAGCCAGTAGCCGCAGTAGCCGCCATCGCCACAGTAGTAAAGGAAAGAGCAAGAAAAAGAAGAGAAGCCACAGCTCTGACTCTGACAGCTCAGAAGATGGCCATCGTCACAGAAGCAGCTCCAAGAGGAGATCGAAAAAATCCAAAAGGAAGGATGAGTCTTTGTCTTCTTCCTCATCTTCCTCATCTTCAGAATCAGAATCCAGCTCTGATGCCTCCACTATTTCCTACCGAAGTTCCAGCAGTGTGAAAAGGGCACCAGCTCGAAAGGCTTCAAGTCCAGAAGGGATACATAAACTTGTGTATCTCTTCGATTTACTCTTTATATCAAAATTCGATTCAACTCATTCTTCAGGAATTCCAAGGCAATACTGCGAAGACAGCTCCATGATGTAGAGCTCCTACACTTCCCTGCACCACTATTTTTTTGCCTACCGACAGTCCATTAGTAATCTGACAAGAGGCAGGTGACTTACGTAGGGATCGGAAAAAAGTAGCTGAGAACCAAGAGGCACCAGCTTTAAGACTCTGTAAAAGCTTCATCGAAGGTGCCTATGAATTGGATGAATGTAAGCTTGTTGAAGGCAAGACAGCTTTTTGTAATGACATCTTGATGCGAGATGTTGTCCTGCAAACAGCTTTTTGTAAGACATTTGAGGGTTCTGCATTATTAAGCAAGTGCAATTTAAAGATTGATGAGAAACACACGATCCCTTTCTCCTGTCAGGAGGGCAGTCACTGCTGAGTCACAGTCACATCCAGCCCTAGAGCAGGGCAATAAAATATTAAGAGGGCCCAGGGAGCGAGAGGCTAGGCATCACCAAGTGATATTTAAACGCAACACAGAGGAACTGACACTTTCCAGGTAAACCAGAACATAAACACAGTGTGAGAGACCACAAGAACTGTGAGAACGATCTCCTCAAGAGGGTTGACCAAAGAGATCCCGACACTTGTGGTTAACCAAAAAGTAAGTTTATAAACTGACTGAAACAGAACTAAAATAATCTTTTTGTAAAGTCTGTCGGGTTTTCACATATTTCAGTGTTGCACAGCTTATTTTAAATTCTTAATAAGATCGCGGCGGATCGCACTTTGTGGTACAACCGAAAAAATGTGATACAGTTATATAAAGATGGCTGAATTCGTGAACAGCCTAAAAGTGTATCTTTGGCTCTTGTTAGAAACATCTTCTTTTGCGGGTATCCTCACGAGTAAGTCTTATTTCAGGTGGTGTCTCTTCATCTCACAGTCTGTATCCTGCATCTTAAATATACGCGAGGGGAGTATATCCTTTAGTGAGCCAGTAACCCAGTCTACGTCACTATGAGTATATGAGGTGAAATGTTGTATTAGTGCATATATAATAAGGCGTGATCACCAGAGGAGAACAGCAGAAAATGTCAGCATAAAAATAAAAGGTACGTATATTTTGAGGGCATCTCTTTAAGGTATTCACAGCATCAGGGCTACCTATGGCAGATCATGTGATAATCCTCGACAACTTCTATCAACAATATATGCGCGTTCAAGTAAAGGACCTTTACAAAGGATAATACCAATTAATTAGACTACAGATTTGAGCAAGTTCATTCTCTAAGACCATACCAACTTTGAAATGAGAGTAAATAAGGGCACTCCTGTTGGGACTGCGAAACGATTTCAGCGTAATTAACTCCAGCAGTTTACCAATATTTTAAATATTCAATATGAAAAAACCTTTCGGATGCGTTATATTTTACCCATTTAGTGCGTTCACCTACTTCCCGGTTTCTTGATGTTTTTCTCTGTTGCTTTGTTGCATTTCTCCTCTTGTTTTGGCTAAATTGAGCTGTTCTAAACAATTTCTTCAAAATGGAGGTTAGAAAATGGCCGATATTAGATAGCTGTTGTGTAAAATTATTTTTTGTTAGAACAATTTGTATGCGAATTTGGCGCAAATCTTTGATGACATGATTAGCAGATGTGTATTCTGTTGTGATATGAACCACATTGTGAAGTAACAAAAACGATAACATTTATAGCCATACTCTATTATTGATCCAGCCTCACAAAAATATATAGACCAATCATTATCACCAACCATACCAGGTTCCCTTCCATTACAAAATGTATTTATTGCGTCCTGTCCCCCTAAATGACTTTAACTTTCATTTAGTAGAATATAACGTAAGATATTCTTAGTTATCTCATATTAAATAGAGAGGGACAACTATAATCACAACAACCGTCTGTTCTTGCCTCAAGGCGCCTGCTTAACTCTAAGAAAATAACATAGGAATAACACATACAAGCATTAGATATAAAGAGCAAACTACTATTCTGAGACCAAATTATCTTAACACAGCGACAGGCCCAACCTTGATTATCAGAATACATTTTAGATTATTGTAACATTTTGAGCGAAAATATGGCTCTTCATGCTAGCATTGTCACTTTTGAAATCCTTAATCTAATAACAGGATACTTATTAGCAATACATAAGCTAGCGTCACGTGTTTTTGGGTAACCCACTTCTGTTTCCCTGAGTGACAGCATTTCTTTCCACCACTCAATCTAGCTTATGTATAGTTATATTGCGCATAATGTTCTTGGTGTCACCTATCTAGTGTTGCATTTAGTCAGAATAATATGTTGGCTTGTATCAGAATAACAAAATCATACTGTGCGCTCAGCTCTTGCCGAGTATTGAGTTTTATTAGAACAACAAATAAAAGCTATAATATTATCACCACTCAACACTGAGGGCCAATCATATCCAGCTGATATTCCAAATTACTTGAAGCGCAAATATATGAAGCACAACATGCTACTTCAACTTCATACTATGACATTTGTTGTAATCATCTATCCTTGCAGTCGTTTATTACACAAAATAAGTTATATTATCACACTTCTGGCCACATAGCGCTGATATTCACTGCACATGCCCATATTAACTTTTTCCAGCCAGGTGTTTTCCTTTTCCCATTCTTCCCTTTCTCTGAGGGGAACAAACATTATGCTGGGCAGACACTGTGCGGTTTTAGGCCCATTTTGAGACGATTTTTGAGTGATCGGACCGATTTTGGCCTTCATCGTGCGTCGTGTAGTATACGTGGGGTAACGAGAAGTGATTAACACCTCACGACCAGCTCCCGATCATCAATCGCTCGTGAGGGTGTCACCACAGGCGCTCACACTGCTCACGCGCAAACACGTGAAAAACCGACGTGTGATCTGGACACAAGCGTTGGAGGCACAACTTGTACTATGTGACCGAGTCTCTGGTGCACTCAATACTAAAAGCAGAAATAACCAGACATAAAAATCGCTCCAATGAGATATTTGAAACTAGACCAACTAGACATGCTCATGCCCAAACCGCTGCTTGTACTCTTAATATAACATCTGAGAAAAGTTATACTTCGGTTATGTACGTAGAAAAAATAACGTACGGGAAAGGAAAAGTGTGGAACTTTTGGGTTGACTTTTAAGAAAGAAGGAGCAGCTGTTGATCGGCTGTGATACCATGTGCGGCGCGAGTAAGTGATCTGGCATTTAAGAAAACCGAAGGGCGAGTTATATAGGACGCACAACACCTCGATAATGCACAACTCTCGAAAGGCTCATCTATTACCAGCACTGTCCTCCATGTGTGGTGTCTGTTGGCAATGCTAGAAGAAAAGTATCACGACCAACAACCCGTGAAAATAGTTGGATTTACACTGGTATAGCATCATTTACATGTATGTTATAAACGAAATCTCAGAGACGAGCTAGAGCAATATGTAGTAATGGTTGGGGTTCCATACTGTTTGGAGTGTGTGTACATATTTTATCTAAAGAGTGAAAGAGACATTGCACGTTGGGTAGATAAAAAACGTGGAGCGGACGTGTTAACAGATTTCTCGTTATAACCTTCATTTTATGAGAGCACATACTAGTCTAGCTCAAAAATAATACTACGAAGATAGAGTCGTCATCAGAATTCGACGACAGAACTCTTTTTTGGCGGCCCGCATAATATAGGTAGTACATGAGAATCGGCTGGCATCGTGAAAATAAAACTGGGCGCATACTTCGAGACCCTTACTACATGATCTTATACAGCTCTCGCATTAGAGTCAATCGTGCAGTTGTTCTGCTATATGCGAGGGCAGTTCTAAATAATTAATCTAAAAAATAAACAGCGAACATAGATCATGAAATATTTCTGCACTACCTATGCGTCTCAGCTGCCAGCTCTCTCAGGTGACCCTATGAGATACACTGCGTACGACTTGCTGCCATCCGCCAGTCTCGTCATAGATCTTGATAAGAGGAAGAAGACAGAGAGATATAGGTAGATAGTTCCCTGTGCCCGTATCCCGCTTCTTCGTGTACGGTATTTCATCTCTGATGATTAGTCTTCCGAGATCACCTCTTCGTCTCGTGAAAGAGACACTGTTGCCTTTCAGCCAATGAGAATGGTCGGAGGAGCCAAGCCTTACGAGACTGGCATCATAAAGTCTGCGCTTATTGAAGACTGTAGTCTGATCTTAGCGATAAAATTTTCTCTGCCATAAGTCTTCAATATGTGTCAGAGCTGGCATATAGGTCATACTTATATATCACAGAGATTAGACGGGAGCTCCAGGGGCTGGGAATTATGTTTTCAAACAAAGCGTTAATTCCATTAACATTTATAGACTACTTTTGATTCTCACTGTATTACGGGACAAAGTGCGTCCCTTATTAGCTCAATACGGGACGTGTGCTTTTGTTTCTAAATACGGGACGATTCCGTATTTTAAGGGACGGTTGGCAACCCTATTATTGACTGTGCTTTTAGGATTCTGTGCTATCTAATCCTACCAAAAGACTGTTCCAGTGTCTGGGACACTGGATGTACATTAACATACAAGCTGGTCAAGTATATAACTTGTTGTTATAAGTTGTGGCCAACCTGGCTAAAAATCCATCTTGTAGCATAAAATTCCAATCAATAATCTGCACACGATGTTTTTCTCTTCAACTCAGCTCACAAATCTCTGCCTCCTGTTTTTATTCTAAGAATGCTCACTTTAAGTGGTGATGTGGAGCACAACAAGGCTGGCAGACTAAACCACTGCAGACTTAACGATAATCAAATGTGCAAAAAATAGAAAACTTTCATGCTGAGAGTTCATAATGTATTGTAAGTGTTATTCATGCATCTTCATGGCATGCAATAAAATGTGAAATAAACATGGTTAATAAGGGAATCTCTGAGCACTGTTGATGATGCATTTATCTCTCCTTACATGACGCTTTCATTCCTGTTTGCACAAACTGCAGAAAATCAGTGCATTTGGAATGGAGCAATTACTCTAAACTACCAACACCTAAAATTTGTCTATTCATACATTCATTCAAAATCCATGTTCTATATTATTTCAATCTGTAATATCACCTCTTCTAGTCTTTTCAAAACTGAAAAACTAACTAGATGTAAACCAAATTCATCTAAATGTTCAAAGACTAGAATGCATCATTTCCAGTGGTGAAAATAAAATAAATAAATATGTGTATGTGTGTGTGCATAAGGAGAAGAGGTTCCTCACATTCTGTTCTTTCGTTTCTGATACTTTGTTACCATGTCTTGCAAACTGGCCGTGGTGATGATGATGGTGATGATGAAGAAGGGGGGGGCAGGAGAAATAAAAAAAAAAAACAACAGCAAAGAAACAAATAGAAAAAAATTGAATAAAAATTATGACAAAAATGAAACGTGAATGATAGTCAAATTATTTCAGGAATTAATGTGACGACCCCTTTTTTTTCTCTTCAGCAAACTCTCTGAACCTTTTTAAGGGACAAAGAACAGACTACTTCAATCTGACCTTGCAGAATGAATAGAAATCATTTTTCTTTCATTCTTTGAAATAGTTCATTATTCAAAGATCACTTTAGTGTATCTAACCCTGTCCCTTACTGTTTTATACGCTCTGCCCATTAACTGACTTTAATTCCCAGCGGTTTAAACTTTCTTTACAATGTCTTTACAATGTGGATGTAAGAGTTTCCCCTGCAAACAAATTATTGCACCTCCATAATATAGCATGTATATTTCGGTTCAATAGCATGATATGCATTTCAGCTTTTGGGTCACAGTTAGAGAAATCTTTGGTGCAGCACAGAAGAAAAGAAATGCATCGTCTATAAAGACAAGCATATCATATTCATGCTAAATTTATATGAATGAAAATCTGCAGTGTGATTTGAGATCAAATCTCACTCTGTCAAAAAAGGATACAGCTATTGTATACTGTTTAACAATTTTCATTGGAGCTGTCAGTGGAGCTGATGTTCAATGGTCAATGAGAGCTCAACATGACAGCTGTCCTGGCTGACAGACAATGATTGGTTTGTTGACATCTTTTTAAACGTGAAATTTTTCTTCTTGGATACCTTGTCAAACTATAACCAACTTGATTAAAACCATCTTTCAGTTAGATATTAAAAAAAAAGGCAGGCACCAGTGAAAAGAGATAATGTTCTCCAGATTTAATCTTGAGAACTTGTTTTGTGACCACTACAGAAAAGAGTGATTTTAAACCTCAGCTTCAGTTACACATATAAGTGGCCCCACACCTGTTAATAAGGTCTTCGTTGTCATCACTCTCCATCTCATCCTCAATGGCTGCCTGGAGGTCACCAATCCTTTTGAAAGCCAACTTAAGGTCTGCCTGCAGGCTCTGATTTGCAGCCTCCAAGCTCTCAATGTCCATTTCCTGTTAATGAAGCAAGAGATAAAATGAACCTTTCAGCTAGTCTGGACCAAAGGCTGATGAGTTCAGTGTTGCTGATATATTGCTTGTGGATGCTGTGCAGGGTGTCCTAACATGTCAGTAGCATATGACTGCACTGCTTAGTTTACTGATATCATTCTCATTGCTGTCTTACCAGCTCATGCTTCTTGCGGCTGGCCTCTGCTTCTTTTTTGGCCAGCTCAGCCATTTCTTCTTTGATGTCACGGATCTGTCTCTGGAGACGTTTGTTTTGTTCCTTCTCTCGAATCTCACTGCTGCTGCGCTGATCTCGTTCCTCCGTCAGCTTCTCCAAGTTCTCCTTAAGCCGAGCTAAATGGCTCTGTCAGCAACAAAGGGAGATGGTTAGAGACAGAGACTGAAACTATAAATATATAGATATGGCATGTAAAATGTGAAAAATGTGTGTATAGTAATGGTGGTGAAAGTAACATTTAAGAGAAACTGTACCAATCAGGTATCTCACTGATGTGCAAAAAATCCCCCCCCCCCCCCAAAAAAACCCCCAAAAAACCCCAAACATCTTATCCATGGAGGCCCAACCTCTTGAATTCAAGTACCTGCTGCTCATGTCTCGGTTCCTGATACAACAGGATGCCTTCAGGGGTCTTGTGAAGTTTCTGTTTTTATAGGGCAATGTTGCTTTATGGAATGAGGTGGACCTACACATTAATTGTGTGGTTGAAAATCTGTATTAAAGTATATAGCAAAACACCGCTGGCCAAATTTGGGGCCAAAGCGATGTTCTGACTGACCAGCATCCCTAGACCCAGCTGATGGTATGATTAGGTTTAGTGTCACTACTGATAGTTCGACACAGTGTTAGCTGGAAATTTAATTCCACCAGGATGGTACATGTCCATTTCCAAAAGGTTTACACAACTTTGTAATTAATCATTTTTTTTGTCCACCCTTGTCTCTTCTCACCCCCAAGTGGTCACAGCAGATCACTGCCTCTCCCTAAACCTGGTTCTGCTGGAGATTTCTTCCTGTTAAAAGAGTGTTTTTCCTTCCCACTGTTGCCAAGTGCTTTCTCATAGGGACTTGTCTGATTGTTGGAGTTTTGTATTACTGTAAAGTCCCAGCACAGTCTCAAGAGCAAAGAGGAGATTCCAGGAGACGGGCATACTCTTGGAGAATTGGACAGGTCTGTAGATGGTTGTTAAACCATCATCAATAAAGGTATCTGCTCCTTTGTGCAAGAAGGAACAGGATGAGGACTGCTAGAGCCCTGCAAAATGACCTTGAACAGGCCCCTGGTATGAATGCCTCTGACCAAACAGAGAAACAAAGAATCTGTGGGTGAACCAAACAAGAGGGTAGTCTCAGGGTCCAGCATCCTCTATTGGGCTATTTGCATACATGCAGATTGAGACAAAAGCTGACCAAATGACTGACTGCTGGAAACCAGGCAGCTGACTGACAGGCTGACTGTTGCGGGATCAGCATATGCTGATGCTTTTAGGTAGTGAAGAGCTGTCAAGTAGCTCTTGTCCTCAGACATGCCTTGCCTAGTAGCATGGACCAGGGAACTTAAACACATGGGGTTGCTATAGCAAAAATACACTGATTCTTCCACTTATCAAATTCGGGGTTGATGAGTGGGGGAGTTTATTGCAAGTAGCAGGTTATACCCTTAACAGGTTACTAATCTGTTGCAAGACTAACACAGAGAAACAGAGAAAGATTCACACCTACAGTCAATTTAGAATCATCAATTAAGCTAACCACTAACTGCATGGACTGTCAGAGGAAGCTGGCATACTCAAATCAAACCCCTGTAGACAAGCAGAGAACATGCAAACTCCACACAGAACGGTGCTGTTTATTAGTCGATTCAAACTCATGATCTTCTTGATGTGAAGCAACAATGCTATATAAGCACCATCATGCTGCTCATTACATTTTTATATATAAGTATTATCACAGATTATATGATTTAGCAAAACACTGATGGATATGTTTTTGAAGTGCAATACGTTCATAAGGTGACCTTTTTCTGTTTCTACAGTTTCTTTCTGACGTTATTAGGATCTTTCATGCTCCCACCAGCCTCTCAAAAATGTCTACCAATGCCAGCAGCACCCAACCTGTGTTTAGCTCTTACCTCTAGGCGTTTGACTTGGGTCTTCTCAAACTCCAGCTTGGTCTCAAGCTCACGACACTTGGCTTCCTGCCGGCTGACAAGGGATTTCTCCACCATGGACTGCTCCTGGAACTCGATCTGGCTCTGGAGGGCTTGCATCTAAGACACAAATGTAGATATGCTGATGTTACTATTTAGTGCAACACACTGTCTAACGCTGAGCTTTCCTAATCAAGTTCAATTCATTCCAAAAGTTTAACAGCTATTTTCATTTAGAATTTTGTTGGCACACCTAGCACTGGGCATTTACACATCTTCAACACTGCCTTTACCATCCTGGTAAAACTGCACCTCAAGCATCTATTTTTTTTAAGTCCTAAAATGTTTCCCATTTAAAACAGAATCTACCTAAAATTAAAATTACTGATCTTCAAGAAGAAACTGCAAGTGAAAGCACTTAATAATAAACGATTAACTTAACAGAAAATGTACAGAAGATGCCTTCTTGTTCATCTTGTCAGTTTGTTCTTTTTTTTCCTTTTTACAAAACCCAAAAGCATCTTGAGGATGCTTGGTACTTGGAACCGAGAATGTCTCAGTGTGTCAATAAGTCACCAAGTGTTCATTTGATAATAGCTGTTCCAAACTCCTTAAATATGATCTCTGATGAATGCTTTCTATGATACAGTAAACACAAACACACTAACACCAACACTGAAATCACCTTATTTAGCTTCAATGAAAAACAAAAGTATCCCTAAAACAGCCATTGTGCCATTTTCGCTTTTCTCCCTCTTTACACATGAACCAAACAATGTGTACAAGTTCACGTATTTCCCTCTCCTTTTATTTGGGTTCAACTAATGTGTTTGATGAAGAAAAAAAGATCATGCAGCTGCAGTCATTACAAGGATGACAGTAGTGCTTGCCTGAGTATGGAAACCAAGCTGGCCATCTGTGTCCCATATTGTCAGTGTCAATGTAAATGGTAAATGGCCTGTATTTATATAGCGCTTTACTAGTCCCTAAGGACCCCAAAGCACTTTACACATCCAGTCATCCACCCATTCACGCACACATCCCGTGACGCGTACTGCTTCGACGTGCTACGGTTATGTGCCGAGTTAAATGGTAAATGGCCTAGTCCCTAAGGACCCCAAAGCACTTTACACA